TGAAAGTTGTCTCATTCGAACATAAGTATGAAATATAATCAATGACTCCCCATGCTCACAATTCCTACATACTTCTTCGTAATATAGAGGGTAAAAATAACTAGAAAACTAAGTTAGACAACGTTCATTAATATTACACTGATTCTGTCTAGAGGGGACGTTCACACTCGAAGGAGCGCAATGATACAATACTGATCCTAACCAGAAGAACAGACCTTACGTTAAAAAATCCGTTATTTTTACATGCACACACACACACACACATATATATATATATAGATGTGTGTGTGTGTGTGTGTTTGTGCGTGTGTGTGTGTGTGTGTGTTTTTGTGCGTGCGTGTGTATGTGTATGCGTTTATACGATGTATAACAGTATCCGAAACAAAAGTGAAGAATTTATGGCCCCACTCTTATCCTAACAGGTCCCATCGCATTTATCCTTACATGCAGTTTCGTCTTTCATGCGAAGAAGGCGGGAAAAGCAGAAGCGCTCGCTTATAGCTTTTCCACATTGTCTTTTATCTTCAATATATATATATATATATATATATATATATATATATATATATATATATATATAAATAACTTTTAATATAGAAAATGTCGGATTACATATATATATATATATATATATATATATATATATATATATATATATATATATATTAGTGATAGAAATTATTAGAAGGATTTAAAATAATAATAATTAAGTAATTCATTGAATCTAGAAGACTTAGGATAGATGACGTTGGCCGTTGGGTCACACTCCATGGGTCAGGGAAATTAGGATGAGTTACACCACGGAATTTGTTAAGAGCTGCGCAATATCGAGGCCATTTAGTCGCCGAGGCCCGTTTGTACAGTTGGTATCACCCTTGCGTCGTATTGTAATGGTCTAGGTTCGATTCTCGCTAGAGGAAGTGCACTGCTGATGAGTCCCATAAATAGGACGAAACGGCCCTCCAGTGCATTCTGCTGAGGTTTCTTCTAGACTGAATTACATAATTATATATATATATATATATATATATATATATATATATATATGTTCATTTATATGAGTTTGTGACTCTGAGTTTCAAGCTTTTGCGATCATCAGACAAACTGGTTTATTTTTGAATAATTGAATCTATTTATGCTTGTTTGTGTTTGGTGGTGGGAGTGGAGAATCTGTGTCTGTTTTTGGATGACCCTCTTACACACACACACATACAAACATACAAGTGTACGCATACACATACCCACATAAACAATTCGAGATTCGGCGCAGATATATATCCATAGCCATGCGTTCGAGTATACATACATACATACGCAATTGTAATCCTATTTTGGTGTCAAGATTGCATGTTCTTTCATCAAGTGAAATGTTGGCGTGGTCTTGGTTTTTTCAGATCGGCCGTCCAATTTCGTCCAATCGAATATACACTTCTTCACACACACATATACACAGGTAAACTTGCACATACACTCCAATATATATATATATATATATATATATATATATATATATATATATATGTATGTATACTAGCTTAAAAGCTACCCTGTCTGGCGGCATTTAACCTTGTTCCTGCGAAGAGCACTTGATTGGGCATTCTGCTGCTTGTTCTGGAGTTATGGGAGTATTTAAGTTTTGCATATTCTCAGCATTGGAAGCTCTCCTGGCTGCCATTTGATCTTGGTTCTCATTTGCACGGGACTTTCTTTTCCTTGCTGCAGCCTTTGGCTCTTTTGATTGCAATCTAGTCCTCTGTTGGCGGAGATTTCTTTTTGCGAGGCATACTGCTGCTGCTGTATGCGATAGGCAACAGCAAACTACAGAGGAACTCAAAAGTAATCGCTCCATTTAAGCATTGCATTAATATTCAAGCTTACCTTCAGCGATAATTCTTTTACCACTAAATAATGTAAAGACATTGTGATGTACGCAGGATCTTTCGTTCCATACAAACAATTACTTTTATTTCATCAGTGACTTTGGCTGGATTTCGAAATTAATTTAAATTATTCCCAAATTTATTTCTAAGTCATAAAAACTGTTATCGTACAAGAAAAAGAATCGCCGAAAACAATCGGAGTAATGAAATCTTAGGAAAACTAAATTTCAGGCTGGCGTATCCAGACTCGGACCGGAATGTTTTTAATTTGCTCATGGAGTAGGTTTGATATAGGATTATTACGAATATGAAATTTGTCACTTAGCTGATTGATGTTATATTTAGCACTCCGACTCCAGAGTTTCGTAGACGAACCTTTTTTGTAATCGCTCGGTTCACTCGTCAGGAGGTATCAGCAATTGACTGCCAATCGAGTTTCTCATTTTTGTAATTTTTATGCTAATACTAGGTAAAAATATAATGTATGTGCTATTTATTGGTTTGATATCTATCTATCTATCTATCTATGTATCTCTCTCTCTCTCTCTCTCTCTCTCTCTCTATATATATATATATATATATATATATATATATATATATATAGATAGATAGATAGATAGATAGATAAACCTAGTGAGCCAACCCTGGCTCACTAGGTTTATCTAGGTCTGCTCTACGGTTGTATCGGGCTCTTTTGTTAGTTAGTTGTTTACTCGTATCGAGGTTTTTTCTTTGGGCTTCAAACCTGCATCTGTGCGATTTTTTTCGACAGACTTTCATATTTCTAGCTCTTTCTTTTTTTAAAACCTTTTTTCCTTCGTGATTGATTTGATTATTGGCAATGGATTTTCGAAACGAGTATAGTTACCTATATATATATATATATATATATATATATATATTATGTATATTTAGGCAGCAATTTTTCATTAATGCATGTTTCATTAAATAATATAGACAAGTTTTGTCTAGTTATTTTAAGTAAGTTCCTTTCATATTGTCTTATAAACTTAATAACTTTATCATTGAATGATGAAAGGAAATCACCATATTGATACATGTTTAAATTCAATCTAAGCTATCGGCTTACATAAGCCATTATCAAAGATGACAGTTACATTTCAATATATCAAACAACACACCGACGAAACAATAATGATAGTCTGTTTTTGCTTCATGAATATATATATATATATATATATATATATATATATATATATATATATAATATATATAATACATTTTCTTAAAAGTTAAAACAGAACCTTGTTGGCCTGTAACGATCTCTGTAACCAGGCGGTCTAAAACACGCTTAATTAAACTATGGTTTCTCTTAAAAATGGTGATATAGCTTCGAACACTGCTGGATAGTACATTTTTTATATGAGTTCTTGCTTTCCCAGATAAGCATTCATGCACAACCTTTAAAATTAAAATAAAAACTTGAGTGTCCAATAACCTTTAACGAAGTAAAAAAGGTATATATATATATATATATATATATATATATATAAGCCAACACGCGATAATATCAACTATGAATATAGATAGGATGTGCTGAGCGTGTTTGGAAAATAATACATTCCTAAAGCTCTAGATACATACATAAAATAATCCGTTCATTCAGTTAAAAGTAAAAATAAAATCATCCTTGATAACGGCTCAAATATAGCCGAATTAAAACTCGAATCATTTAAATGTTTCAAGATTGTAGTTATCAGGGAAGCAAGAAATCAGAAGGGTGTTCCAGAGATAGGAAGTGTAAAAAAGAAACTGTTAGGGTAGAAATGTCAGTTGCATCTATCCAGTTCAATACTAAAACGGTGAGACCTATTTGCCAATCTAGTAGCAT